GGCAAGGGGCGGGGCCGGGGCGGGCTCTGCAGGGATGGGGGCGGGCCCCGGGGACGAGGGGCGGGGCCCTGGGAAAGGGGGCGGGCCCGGAGGCGGGGCCCGGGGTGAGGGGGCTGGCCCGGGGGCGGGGATCACAGGGCGAGAGGGCGGGTATGCAAAAGAACATTCGTCAGCCCGCGGGAAGGCCAAATCCACAGAAAGGGTTCAGAGGCAAACGGCCATAAAACCACGTTTAACGTGCAAGCCCCTGCTGTCACATATAGGGCACCAACCGGGGATCATAGGCCAGGTGTCTGAAACTTAAAACATGCCAAATACTTGCAAGATGATTAATTCACTGAAGCCAGTTAAGGAATCCACGACTTTAGAGAAACTGGAAAAATAGTTGACTAGATAGAACATGGTCGGAGCCAAGAAATTAGTCTTTTGTATAAAATCTTTGACAAGAAAGTCTCACTCCCAAAGCCGTAGATCCAAAGTATGAAAACACCTGTAATATATTTCATTGGCCACCACAGCCAAAGAGCTATGGCTGAATGAAAAACAAAAGTATACAACTTTTTAAAAATCTCCAAAGAGAATTATTATGAACTTCGTGAGTTGGCAAGTTTTGGGTGAACCAGTGATTGGGTGAGTTGGTCACTTGACAAATTGAGTGTTGGCAAATTGGCTTTCAGGGGATTGATTTTCAGCAACTGAGCTGGAGCCCATTTTTGGTGCTCAGGACTGGATGCTCATGTTGTCCCTAGACCCTCCTCCTGGCTCCTGTGCCTACTTGAAGAGTCCCACCTGTCACTCTAGGGTCATGGCTCCCCTACAGGCTCTGCCCAAAACTCCGTGGGCCCTCCTAAGAGGTGACATCCGAACTTCCATCTCCCGGCAGCTGGAGGCCCAACGTCAGATGGGTCTTCTGGCTGCAGTTGTGGGAACATCAGCAAATAACTCGGCCTCTCTAAGCCTCCATGTTTCATCTATATGATGTGGCTAATAACAGTCCCTGTGTGGCACAGGAGGACATATGCTGTACCAGGCAGCTATTTCTGTGCCTGGCACTTAGTAACTGTCATGATTCATTCAGCCGGGCCCTATGTGAGGCCCTGGGGACACAGCCGTGAACAAGGCTCGTAGTGAAGCAGACGCTCCAATGAACATCCTCTGTCTTGGGAGGGACCTGACAGAACGGCCCCCATTACACTCCCTGGCCCTACAGTCAGCTGGTCTCTTACTTCTCACCTCCTGATGCTCACACACACACACCTGAGCGTGGGGCAGGGGCACTTCCTCTGGCTGCGAATGGCTTGCGGGTCTAGCCTCTACCGTCCCTACCCCCACCCCTATTAACAACTCCCCTGACTCTGCCTCACACTCCAGGACAGCTTTGCCGCTGGCCCGGCCCAGGAAGGCCTGGGTTAGGAGGCACGTGGATGGAACCAGGGTCTCCTTTGGCCGCACGACATCTACCTGGCTGTCTGCTTCTCCATCAGCCTTCTGCTGACCGGCTAGGCTTTCAGGGTCCAGACTTAAGAAGGACCTAGGTGCTTCTCTGCTTCTGTTCTCTCTGTTGGCCTTCCTGCCCCCTCCATCCAGCCCCCAGCTCCCTACGTCCTGCAGGAAGCCCTCTCTCTCTTCCCTGGACACAGATCCTCTCTCTCGGGTAAGAACATGAGAGCTCAAACCCAAGCAGAGCCCTGGTAACTAACAGAAGAGGTGTGTTTAGAGTGAGATCTAAGAGTCTGGAGACAGAGACCACATGTGGGTGGAGGAATCAAGGAAGGCTTCCTGAAAGAGGAGGCAGTCAGAAGAGGTTCTGGAAGGGCAGGTAGAGGACGGAGGGCAGGGCGCGGCTCCAAATATGCAGCATGTTCAACAACAGCTGCCAGATGACTTGGGTGCCTTGACCACAAAGTTGCCTGCAAGGAGGGGGTGCTGAGATGGGGTCACGAAGGAAGGGCATGTTGCTGGACCCTTCACCTGTTATTGTTTTTCATTCTTAGAGTACCTTTAGGATGTCATGTGCCCTTGCGACATCATGAAACGAAGGCTCAGCAAGGTTAAGCCACAAGTCCAAATCCATAGATGACCAAAGTCTAGATTCAAACCCAGGGCTTGGAGCGCAGCTTTTTGCTGCTGCCTCAGCCCCTCCCCTGACCCATCTCCCCACAGCCTCATCAATGCGGACTTCTGCGTGGGCTCTGTCTGTGTGGCCTTTGGGGCGGTTCTGGGCAAAGTCAGCCCTGTCCAGCTACTCATCATGACCCTCTTCCAAGTGACCCTCTTCTCAGTGAATGAGTTTATCCTCCTCAGCCTGCTAGAGGTGAGCAGGGATCAGAACGGGGGTGGAGATGGAAGGGCCACTTGGGGTGACAGCAGGGAAATAGAGAAAGGGAGGGCTGGGGAGATATGCCAGCTGGATTCGGTTCACTGTTGGCAAGTCACTTAACCTTCTGAATGTCAGTTTCCTCGTCTCTAAAGTGAGAGTAATGATATTTACTGGGCAGAGCAGGGGCCCCTCATGTTGGTTGTCTCCCTCCTTTCTCTTTCCTGCATATTGGGTGGAAAGAGTGGGTGTTCCTGAACACAGTCTTTTTTTTTTTTTAACACTTATTTGAGAGAGAGAGAGAGAGAGAGAGAGAGAACAGCATGAGCTGACACTGCAGAGCGTGATACAGGGCTCAGTCCCATGAACTGTGAGATCATGACCTGAGCCAAAATCAAGAATCAGATATTTAACCGACTGAGCCACCCAGGCACCCCCCTGAACATACTCTTACACACACACACACACACACACACACACACACACACACACACACCACATTCACAGATTGGTCTCCCAAGAAAAAGACACAGTGTATTGAGGGCTACACATATGTAAGGAAGGAGCCTTAGGGAATATCCAAGGTGGACATGTATCGCTGCATAGGTTGTGCACTGCATGACTCTAGAAGTGACAGTCACATGGATTCTGGCAGGAATCATGCCCCTTAAAGTTGGCCAATTCAATGAACCAAGTAAGGGGTACCTTAGACCTCTGACTCCAGCTCAGATACTTCTTGGTACCTTTGCAGGGGTGAAGGCCATTCAGAGACTTCATCCATTTCTTAGCCCCCAACTCCTCTACATTTGGACTCTGCCTGGAACACCCCCACCCCGAAAAAGGGTAGAGTTTCTTTGCTTTTGTTTTTTTTACGTTACACTACATCCAGTCATTCATTTTGTCATTTTCTTCAGCCACCAGACTGACCCAGGCCGCCATATCTCTACCTCTTAACTCACCTCCTTATCTTCATCCTTGCCCCGCTCACCGCCACAGGCCAATCCCCACCAGCAGCCATGGAGACCTGTTAGTAACGCGTATGAGACCAATTCCCCTGATTAAAACCCTCCAGTAGCTTTTAAAATTTCACTTCAAATGAAATCCACATTTGTTATAAAGCCCTACATGTTCTGCCCCCAGCCCCTCTCTCCAAGCTTATAACCTACTCTCTCCCCATCCTTCTGTGCTTTGGCCATACCCTCCTGTCTGTTCCTCAACACAGCAAGCTTGGTTCCCCCTCGGGGCTTTTGCTCTTGCCTGGAATGCTCAGCTCATCCCCCAGTCATTTTCATCACTGAGGTCTCAGCTGGAATATCACCTCTTCAGAGAGGCCCTCCCAGATTCTCCCCCGTACACAGTGTTGCCCTCTAGCTTACCCCCCTACTCCACCCCTAGTCACTGTGTCTCACGTTGATCTGGTTTATTTTCTTCATAACATTTCTCCTTCTCTGATAAACCTTATCTGTCTGGACCATCCGTGTCCCCAGCATCTAGTTCAATGCCTAATAAGTGCTCAACAAATATTTACCAAGTAAATACCAAGACTCCGAGTCTGACTGCATGTCAGGCAATGCTCCGGGCACTCTCACTCAGACCCCGAGGAGCTCACAATCTAGTGAGGGAACCAGGAAGTACACAGTTACCATGCAGTGTGATGAGAAGTGAGGTCAAGGGCTTGGTGACATGAAGGAGGGTGCCTGAGCCAGCATGGCAGGTCAGGGAGGCTTCCTGGAGGAAGAGACGTCAAAGCTAGAAGTCAAGGAGGAAACAACCAGGCAAAGGGGTGAGGCAGAGGAAACAGTGCAAAGGCCTTGAGGGAGGCCCACAGTGAGCGGTCTCTGGTGGCTCCATCTGGTGGAAGGAGGGTGTGCTGGGGGAGGGCTTGGGGGGGTAATGGTAGAGGAAGGGGGGCAGGACACGGATCATAAAGGCTCCTGGAGATGGTGTTGAAGAGTCACGAGGGCAACTTTGTCATGACGGCAGTGGGGAGCTATGGAGAGTTTCAGATGGGGGAGTGGCACGGCCAGACACACGTAATAGAAATGCCACTTCGGCTCTGGTGAGGACAATGGCTGGGATCAGGGAGCCCTGTCCAAGAGGCTGTCCAAGTCGCCCTGGTAAGAGATAATGGGACTGGGGGTAGTACCAAGAGAAGGAAGTGATTCAACAGATAGAAAGGAGGGGAATACACAGGCCTTAGGGACTGGGTGTGGTGGGAGGCGTGAGAAAGAAAGAAGCAAGGCTAGGTGAGGGCTGGGCATTGGGGCCAATGGGCATGATCTGAAACAGTGAGAATCCACAGTCTTGGGCATGAGTCGAGAGACCCTCAAAAATCCCCCCAATCTGCTACAGAAATTTGGTGTATGTTTTTTTGTTTTTCTTTGACAGAGAGGAGAGAGGGGGTGGGGAGAGAGGGAGAGGGA